CTACCGTTCAGCTGTTTGGGGTCTGTAATATTTTTTAATGTTAATGTTGAAAGAAGTCTCTTTCAGTATTATCATTACAGTGTATTGATATTTTGACATTCAAACATTTTTCTGTGCATTAACTGTCCAAATATATTGAGACCACTAATTATTTTTGAAAATAACTGAAGAGATTTAGACAAGACAAAAATAAGAATTAAATAAATAAATACATTTTTGTTTTAATTTGACCTGAACAATGCCTAAACACACTCTTGAGTAAAGAATGAACGGCCAATTATTCAATAGTTCAAAAACATAAATTATATGACTTGTATGTATGACTTCATCCTAGAGACTTTGGCTTCAACAATGTTAGAAATACAGACAATTTATTGATAATAGAACCATCATATCCATCAGTATAACAGTAGAATTAAAGGCCCATTTACAGTATGATCGGATAACCTCAGGATCAAATAAGGGCAGGATTTACACTTCTACAATTCTACCATAATCCAGGAATAAGGATACCAGACAAAGAAGTTGTTTAGCTTACAGCTCTCAGCTCCTGAAATACAGTATTCAGCAAGTTGGTCCCCTGAAGATTATATAACCTCCTTATATAGCCTTCTAAATATACAACTTTCTCACTATCAATGCACTTAAATAAAAACCACCCTTGTCTCGTTCCAAAGTTCTTGCATTTAGAAGAAATAAAAGCTATGATCAACACAGCCTTTGCTGTGATTACATCAACTTTCTGTCATGATATGATTCACGTTTCCACTGAAATTCAAGCAGTATATGCTATGAGTGAAGTGACATGCTCCATTTCGCAAAGATAATTGGTTGTTTTTCAGTTGCTTCAGGGTTGACATTACAGAGTTTGTTTATGTGGAATGGTGCATCAATTCTCTGCGGCGCTGAAAGCATGCTATGTTTATTATTGTTTATTTTTAATTTTTTTGCATGCACATCTGTTCTGTTCCACTGCAGGGCATCAGCGACGTTTAGTCTATGACATTCGGTAATGAGGCAGGTGACAGGATTAGATACTATCACCAACAGCTGCACAGCGGCGCTGAGAGTCCCTGACCATTGTCAATCTCCCTCACATCAGCAATAGAGGCCATGTAAGCCGTGATAGACAAGGTTCTTATCAGCATGTTGGGGTTCAAGTAGTGCCTAGAGCTCATTTCATTCATGTGACACTCCCCTTCGATTCCACACCCTCCTTTCTTCCTCTGTTCCCTGCAAGCCAGTCATGCTTGACTTGGTCAACTAGTTAGTGGCTGCTGCGTGATCATACGTTACTGGGCACGGTTTGATTGGCGGCTGGCTCCCTCCGGAGCGGCCGTGTGACAGGGCTAATCGGACTACGCTCAGCACCTCTCAGTGCCAATGAAATCTTCAGGCCCGACTCGATTCATCCTCATTTGATGGCATTTGTTAAAGGCCAACTGAGGCTAACCTGGCATCTAATTGGCTGCTGGCAATTCCCCTCCCCCTCTGATCAGTTCATACTAATATCATTGAATCTGGAGGACCAAAAGAGAGGAAAGGTGACTGATTGATTGGGCAGCTGTGTGATTTAATGGAGGAAGGGATTACTGTCTCGGCTGTCATCTTCTATCACCCCTTCTGCTCCTCCTCCTTTTCTTATCTCCTCTAATTCTTGCCTTTGCGATGAGATGTGCAGGCACAGCGCCGATTCGAGGTGACTGTGCTTAATGAGCCACGTAATCCAGGATTGAGGTGCTACACCAACATTGTGTATGATCTTCCATACGTGACCTGTAAGTAACATTATGTGGGCTCGAATGCTGACTCAAATGTTCCAGTAGCTATAAAAATTTCCATTAAATATCACTTCTCCTCCTACAGATTTTTTTTTTTGGTTGAAAAGACCAGCATTTTATATTTGGGATGCTGATGTGTTGGTGTCAGGCTTCTTGAATAGTTTAACCAGCAAGATTTTCTTGGTCTACAAAGGAATTGTCAGCAGCAAGACCATAATAAGGGATGCATGATTTTGCCTCCATATGAGATTTTTTATTTACCGGTTTTGGTTGATATGAGATATATATGGGCCCATATGTGACCCTGGACCACAAAACCAGTCATAAGTCACATGGGTATATTTGTAGCAATAAGGAAAGGAAGTTCCTATGAACTTCATTTGGAGAACTTTAAAGGTGATTTTCTCAATATTTGGATTTTTTGCACCCTCAGATTTTCAAATAGTCGTATCTCGGCCAAATATTGTCATATCCTAACAATACATCAATGCAAAGCTTATTTATTCAGTTTTCAGATTATGTATAAATTTAAATGTAAAAAAATTTACCCTCATGACTGGTTTTGTGGTCCAGGGTCGCATATTTGAATATTTAATTGTGCACGCCTATTTCTACTATATTTGCATTTAGATGAACTTTGCCATCATCTAGTCATCATCTAAAAACACTAGTAAATGTAAATGTAATTTTTAGCAAATCTCAAAATCTATATCCATTTTTCATACTGTACATTATAATGTTGTGATGACACCTCAGTTCACTTGTAGCATTAAAAATGACTGATCTTAGTCTTTAGAGTTTTATTTTTAATGTATTTAGACAAAATTGTATGGAATTTTAGATTGACCCATTTATCAGATATTAGTCAGAACATAAAAAAATATTTAAGGTTACTATATATTAAGTATTAAATATTTAAAGTTTAGCTATGCATAGTTCATTTTTGAGGGTGGAATCTAGTGATCTAAATCTGATCTGATTTCCCACACAAATTTCGCAACAGGTTCAAGCTGGTCATGAGGACTTTCCATGTTGACCTTACCATTATTGTTGAAATACAAGTCATGATTTTTATCATCTGAAACAACATCTCTCAACAATACCATTTTGACCTGGTGTGACTTTTTTTCAGGAAAATACAGTAGCTTTAGTTTGAAAGTGACTTCTGTGTTTCATACATCACTACACTATTGATAATGGATGAGGGTCTTTTTTTTTTGTGACCGCACTTTTAGACGGAATTCTGACAGAAATCATATTCTTTTTTTTTGTATTTTTAATTTATTTTGACAAAATAGTATATATTTTATGTTTTATGCATAGGGTCTTCCACTAGAGGCAGAAGAGGTGGCAGGTAAGAGGGTGGAGACCTGTTCTCAGGGGCCTCAGGGGACTGTGATCCAACCCTGTGATCCAACCCTGTGATGCTTGTCCACCAGCTACACCTAACCACCTACATGAAACAGCTTGGAAATTCATGCTAGTCCGAGTCGGTCTTTTCAGCAGGGTTATCTTTGTGTGTGTGCAAGGGTGTGGGAGAGTGAAAGATTATGCTTTACTCCTCCTTCAACCTTTCCTTCCGCTCCAAGGTCACTCAGCTCCAGGGTTTGGCACCAGGAGGGTACAGCGGTAAAGATATGCATAGCTGCCAGCTGCTGTCAGACACGCTGCACCCAAGCCAACAAAAATATCCACCTCTCGCTCCTTATTTCATTTCATCCTCATTCTCTGTCTGAAGTTTTTATCACATGTCCTCGGGGAGCTCGTTTTTGTACAGTAGTGTGATCAAGGCTTGTGAATGAAAAAAGACGGTTGTTTGATCCAGTGATAGTGCTGATCAGTGGAGCCACACACGCAGGTCTTTGTGGTGTCATTTGGCAGGCCCAAATACAAATGGAGAACTCCTCCTGCAGAATATCTCATAAGCCTGTGGCGTGAGCGATAGCTGCTCTAATAGATGCTTATCTCCTCAAAAAGACCCAGACATTTTTTTATATTCATCTTCCACCGGCCTTCATTCATCATTATGTATTAATGACCCTGACCATTAAGGTCTGCTGAGGAAATGCATTGAGTAAATTGCTTTATGAGATGACTGTGGATCTGTGATTGCGATAAGAACAATTTGCCATGTGCTTGCACTTATGGTCACTTTATCTATAAAATTACGTCTGGTATTTATATCAATTGAATGTATTATGTCTTGCTCTGTATTGAGTCTTTTAGGAATAATATCAAGGCACTTTAAATAGTGAAGTGCCTTGATATAAAGATTTAGCTGATACAGAATATTTTAATGTTATGACTGATAACTTAATTTTAAGCATACACATTTTATAGAGTATATAAAAAAACTTTTTATAGAGTAAAAAGGTAAGCTCTGATATTACTCTGCCAATATCAGATACAATAATAATATTTATTATTATTATTAGTAGTAGTAGTAGTAGTAGTAGTAGTAGTAGACAAGTGGTACAAACAAACAAATAAATGAAAATTTAAATATCACCATCATTATAGTATTAATGCTACTACTACTATTGCTACTAATAATAGTAAAAATTATATATAATACATAGAATCGGTATTAATGTAAGAACCAATATTAAATACTGATATTAATAGCATTATTATTATTCTAAATATAATATTAGTATAAATAATGTTATCTTAACCAACAACAAGTACCATGGTACTACCATGGTTGCTGGACTTTTTTGAAGTACTGCGGATTACAGTGTACTGTAAATGACATTAATTTGATAATTATTGTGCACCATGGTATTGCCGTCTGATACCATCACTCTACCACGGTACCACCACATTATATTTTGTAATAATTGGACATTAGATTTATATTTATGCATTTGGCAAATGCTTTTATCCAAAGCAACTTACATTGCATTAAGTTCAGTACATTTTTATCAATTAATGCATTCCCAGAGAATCGAATCTGTGGCCTTGGTGTTGCTAATGCCATGCTCTACGGTTTTCTCTTCTTTATGCTCACAACATATGCACCTCTGGTTTTTACTGTGCCCCCAACTCCACCCCTCTCTCTTCCTCGACCTCTCACTCTGTCCTTTGTCTCTTGTCTTTCTGGCTCCCTCTGTCCTGGGCCATGTGGAGGTCTGAATGTTTTTTCTCTACACACGTGGGTCTCCCCCTCCTGCCCCTCCCTCCCTCCCTCACTCTCTCTCTCTCTCTCCTCTCTTGCAGTGAGAGTGCATCAGGAGGGTGTGGACCTGAGAGAAACCTACAGGAAGAAGAAACAGTGAAGATTGCTCTTCTCTGACTGGGATAATCACAGATTTTCCTGCCCGTTGTGTTTGTGCCTGTCAGCAGGTGCAATGCCTGCCACATCACAACAGCAGGTGGGCAGCAGGGGGCGATGCGCTGCTCTCCTGCTCCCTCTCCTCCTGCTATCCGTGGCTCCCAGGCCTGGGAATGCCACCATCAACATCCCATCCAAATGTGAGTACAGGATTTTACATTGCATTCAATATGCATGTGCATGGTGAGTGTTTTTTTTTATTTGCATTGATTGTTGCAGTATTATAATGTTTGCTATGTTATATTGTTATGGTTAAAAAGTGCAGAATGAGCTGTTTTAACTGAATTTAATTGCTAAATTGATTATACTATTGATTCGAGTGCCTAGTACAGACCTGATTAGAAAGGACATTCAAGCATGCAGTGATTGAAACGCACCTGAGCAGGAACTGTAAACATAGCAGCTGCTACAAGCTTCCTAAAGCTATAAACAGCACTGGGTTTGTTGCTATTATTGTACATCTGCAATTTAAGATTGCAGCTATGTATCATTGTATCAGAGAATCTCTCTTTCCTGCCCCTCCAAACACACACACAAAAAGAAGAGGAGAAAAACTAGATGAAAACTGCAAAACAGAAATGCACCAGAATGAGATGTCAGTGAAGAGTTACACCTACATTAAAGGTCACGCTTTCTCTTGACTTTCAATTAGTGACCTTTAAACAGGAAATGTGGACATGGATGTGACCAATGAGATCGATAACACACCCACATTAAAATGTTCAGCCAGAAAACACAGCCTGACCGGGTCTGTCCCATATGCTGTCTGCTAATTCTCTGATCCTGTCTCATGACATTCAGCATGTTTGTTTTCTTTTTAAGTTGTTGGGACTGCAGGACCAAGCAGTCTTGCAAAAGGGTGGTTGAATTCAAGGAAGGAAAATAGCTAGATAGGGAGTTTATTTTAGCTCTGCTTTGCCAGCATCTTGTTATCTCTAGTGTTCCTCTTGTTGGCCAGCTGATCTATAGTCCAGGTGTCTGAGCTGGCATCATGTGTTTTCTTTGTTTCGCCTCCAAACAGTGTAATCATACCATCACAAACATGTGTTTCATTAAGAAAAGGCTTAATACAATCGATGTGTGTGAAGGTCAGGTTTTGCCTTCACTGTTGGAGCTGAATGTCCTCATGAGGATAGTAAAAATCTGAGCCAACTCATAAGGAAAACAGCCTACTAAACATTTAATAATGTCTTAATGAAAATCTAAAAATGCTAAATGGTAGGGTATAGAAAATATAAGTATTTAAAAAATATTCAAACAGAAAACAATTGAAGTCAAAGGAAAGTTCACACCATGACTGAAGAACAAACGTGTGTCTATACTTGTGTGTGCCGAATTTCTGGAAAAGTCCTTGCACATCCAGTTAAACTTCTAATCCTCTTTTGAAAAAATGGTTCAGACATGGGACAATTAGTGTCTTAATTAAAATCTAAAAATGCCAAAAGTGTCTGTAGAGGTTTGAGTTAGATGAAGGGTGTTGTAATTAGCTTAATTTAAGAATGATAGATGTATAGGTGCAGTTTATGTGTATGTGTCCATGTGTGTAAAATACATATGAGTGCATGTTGTTGGTGTGCATTACTGCAATCTAAAAATATTTATTTCCCCCCCCTGCTGACTCAATGGACAGACAAAATAAGAGATTGTGAGTATTTCTGGCATGTATAATGTTTTTGCATGTACTAACTCTACTCCACTAAAATTTCCCGGACTCATTCCAATAACGGAAGACAGCCTGCAGCAACAGCCAAAACCGATCAGCTGATAAATGTGTTTGTTATATTCAGAAGTGTGGGAATGATTGTGCAGAATTCAAGGGTGCATTAAGGCATGAATCTTTTAAAATGAATGATTATCTTCCGTAAAGGCACGAGAGATAGACATGCCTCCCAGTTATAATGGTTAATGATCCAAAACTGGTCCATCACCAGGGATTACATTAATTTTTAAACAATGCCCTTTTTTAATCTATGGTTTTTCCTCCTTGTCCACCTGTTTTTGCCATTAAAATGATTGATAAATATGCTTTATACAGATGGATGGATGGATGGATGGATGCATAGATAGACGGATGGATTGATGACGGATAGACGGCTGGACAGATAGATATGATTTGTACAGATGATAGATAGATAGATAGATGGATGGATGGATGGATGGACGGACAGACAGACGTATGGATTGATGATAATTTGTACAGATGATAGATAGATAGATAGATAGATAGATAGATAGATAGATAGATAGATAGATAGATGGATTGATGATGGATAGACGGCTGGACAGATAGATATAATTTGTACAGATGATAGATAGATAGATAGATAGATAGATAGATAGATAGATAGATAGATAGATAGATAGATAGATACGGACGGATGGATGGAAGGATGACGGATAGATGGCTGGACAGACAGATAGATAGTTAGCCATGTAAATGTCTGAACTGCATAGTGAGGATCACTCTACCCTTTCCCAGATATCAGTGTTGTTATTTGTCTAGTATAAGCGCTTGTTTATAGCCTCGGTGACCCTGTCCGTAGATTACATCACTAATGCTTTATGCTCTCGCTGTCTGCCTCTCTTATTCATTCTTCTAGTCTCAGTTTCTTCCTGCTCTCGATGCTTTCACAGGCCACTCATCCGTAAAACAACCGACACTTAGAGAACATCTCAGGCTCACCTAATCTCCATGTATTACCTCTGCATGCTTTACACTGCACTCTTAATTTCCCTCTTTTCACTTGGGAGTTTCTAATGACATGCATGATATTCCATTTCCCGCATATGCCGATTGGATCTAACTGAGTGTGTGCTTTGGTGAGAAGCAGGGGCACTTGCTTCAGAACAGAACTGAGGTTTAGTGGGAAACTTCACTGAAGTCAGTGGCGCAGCGGATCATTAAGCTGTTTTGAATATTGGTGTCATGTGATTACAGCAGGTCAACGAAACGACTGCTTAACTACTGTGACTAATATGCCTTCCCTTTCCACATCTGAAGTGACTAACAAATGAGCTGAAGTTATTATAGCTCTGTGAAAATAGAAGTCTATTTCTATTTTTAGGGTGTTGCTTTGCTAACTTCACAGCTCGCAGAAATGTAACTGGTTAATTGAATGTTTGCTGTGTGATTGTGTACTCTCTCCACAGTGAAAAGCCCCCCAGTGATTACCGCTCAGCCGAAGTCTGTAACCACCTTTTCAGCAGATGACATCACACTCACCTGTGAGGCAACTGGGAATCCCCCGCCCACGTTAGTATCCATAGCAACACAGTTACATAATTTGGTAACAGTTTCCTTGAAGCCTATACAGTATATAATGCTTTTATATATTGCTTTGTATTTTGCATTGTATTCTTTCATAAATAATTGTAAACACTGTTGCAATGCACTATTATACTAACCATTTCCTAGATACACATTTAAACTTACCGTGCATTATGATACTATATTATGTCTTTTAAAGACGCCATAAAATCAAAATGGGTTTTGTCTGTTAGCTGTCTGATAATGTATGTTAGCTTTGAGGCCTATATGCTACAATCAAGCTATTCCATTGGCTATATATATTTGAACAATATAATATATGTGACCCTGGACCACAAAACCATAAGTCATAAGTCATAAGTCATAAGTAGCACGGGTATATTTGTAGCAATAGCCAACAATACACTGTATGGGTCAAAATGATCGATTTTTCTTTTATGCCAAAAATCATTAGGATATTAAGTAAAGATCATATGAAGATATTTTGTAAATTTCCTACAGTGAATATATTAAAACTAAATTTTTGATTAGTAATATGCATTGCTAAGAACTTCATTTGGACAACTTTAAAGGCAATTTTCTCAATATTTAAATTTTTTGCACCCTCAGATTCCAGATTTTCAAATAGTTGTATCTCGGCCAAATGTTGTCCTATCCTAACAAACCATACATCAATGGAAAGCTTATTTATTAAAAAAATTGAACCTTGTGACTGGTTTTGTGGTCCACGGTCACATATTGTAAATGTGGTTACAGTAATTTAAAAAAAGTTTTTTTAAGGTGTATTATAAGGTATTATAGATTCTATTTTAGTACATTATATACGCTACCATTCAAAAGTTTTGAGTCAATAAGAGTTTTTAATGATTTTGAAAGAAGTCTCTAATGCACACCAAAGCTGCATTTATTGGATCAAAATACAGCAAAAACTGTAATATGGTGAAATATTATTACAATTTAAAGTAAATGTTTTTTGTTGAAAAAAGTAAATTTTTTATTGTAGTATATTTTAAAATTTAATTTATTCCTGTGATGGCAAAGCTGAATTTTTAGCATCATTACTTTAGTCTTCAGTGTCACATGATCCTTCAGAAATCATTCTAATATGGTTTCATTTATTTGAAATAGAAAACTTTTGTAGCAATATTCATGTATTTCGTGTCACTTTTGACCAATTGAATGCATCCTTCCTGAACAGTAGTAGGCTAGTAGCTAATAATTCCTTAAAAAAAAAAAAGTTTACTTTCACCAAACTGTTGAACATTTTTTAGATATATCTTATTATTAATTAAAAAAAAAGATTTATTGCTATAGCGATTTAATTTAAGGATGTTATTTTTCTCTGTTCTGTTAAAAATGACTGTTATTTATTTCTTATCTGCTTCATTGCTAGGTTCCGCTGGGTGAAAGATGGTGTGGAGTTTGACCCCTCTAAAGACCCTGAACTCTCCGTGTCCAGAGATTCTGGGACCTTCTCGTTGACAGCCAAAGATGGACCCATTCACCAATATCAGGGCAGATACAACTGCTCCGCGTCTAACGTTCTCGGCACAGCGGTGTCAAACGAGGCTCGCATTGTCACGGAGAGTAAGTCGCTCTCATCACTGCAACATTATAAAGCGACACACTTATGACTGCCTGTTTGATATCCTGACGTTACCACATGCAGTGAGTTTTCTGTAGAGAAAATCTGGCGCGCAGCAGATAACAGCCCAAAATCAAGCCCCTTGCCCCCTGTTGTGTCATACGCACAAAATGACATTTAGAGGAAAATTACAGCTCATTGTGTGTGCCAGTCACACTAGCAGTTTGAAGAATTCCAGAACGAATAAAAATCCCCAATTGCTTCCCAATTAGCTATCAAACAACACTTTGTACGGAAAAACAACAACAAAACAATTGTTTTGACTAGCTATCTAGCAATCTACCTGTCTCCTTTACGCTATCCCGACCTCTCTGCCAGTTTCCCTGACAACGGTTACCTCAGAAACCAGTGCGAGTCGTGTAAGTGTGTCAGTGGGGACGACCACTCGTGGGATTAATATGTGCAGGAAGTGAGAGTACTCAGCATGAGCGGGGCTAACAATAGCCCACATATTATGAACTCCACTCGCAGCTGGGGCTGGCCACATTAATATGTGCATCATCACACACCTATTTCATATCATGACAAGCCAAGGCATCTTCTAAATAATGTTGGACTAGTTATGTAGTTTTTAATTGCATCCTGGTGTTCATTTGTTTTGTCAGCTGTGCTGTGGATAATTACTTGCTAGCTAATTAACACACTCCGGTTTCTCGCAAGATAAAATGTATCTGAAATTGTGTTGTAAACTGTGATTTTAAAACTTCTTCATACACAACTGAGATTGAAAGTTTAAGGTCAGCTAAAAGTTTTAAGTTTTTTTTTTTAAAGATATTAATAATTTTAGTCAGGTTACATTCAATTGATTAAATTGAAAATAAAGACATTTTAATGTTACAAAAGATTTCTTTTTTTAATCAGTGCTGCAGTGTTATTTTAGCATGATTGATTTGTTATAGATTTTATTAAAAATTTGAAATTATTTGTATTTTCTGTTTTTTTTTTTTTTTTTTTAATTTACGTTTTTTTATTGTTTTATTGTGTGTTTTTGGAATTTGTATTAGTTTTTAATTGTGTGTGTGTGTGTGTGTTTATGTGTGTGTATCATTGAGTTTTTTATTATAGATTTTATTAATGTTTTGAGATTTGTTTGTATTTTCTGTTTTTATTTTCGTTTTAATTCATTTGTTTTTTAGTAATTGTGTTTTTGTAATTCTGTGTGTGTGTATATATACTGTATAAGTTTTAGTTTTTATTTTTAGTTATTTTAGTACATCGTATTAAATGAAAATGAGAATGCCTTTGCAACTAGCTAAAATATTTTTTTTTGTCATAAAATAATCCTGAAAAACAAAATTGTATAAGGGTTTCCACAACAATATTAAGCAGCACAAATGTTTTCAATATTGATAATAATATGAAATGTGTCTTGAACACCAAATCAGCATATTAGAATGTTTCCAAAGTATCATGAGACACCGGAGTAATGGAAGATAAAAATTCAGCTTTGCCATCACAGGAATAAAATAAATTTTAAAACATATTACAGTAGAAATTAGTTATTTTAACTACTGTATTTTTCATCAAATAAATGCAGCCTTGGTGAGCATTAAAAAAACTTTTGAACGGTAGTGCAATTTTGATTCATTCTCTTCTCTGTTCTCTTGCAGACACTCCCACTCTACAGAAGGAGAAGAAGGTGTCGAAGAAGGTGGAGGATGGAGAGAGTGTGGTGCTTCCCTGTAATCCTCCTAACAGCACTGTGGCTCCGGTCATCCACTGGATGGACAAGAGTTAGTCTGTTTTTATCCTGATTTATCCATGTTAAACATGAACCATATCTCAGCAATATATGCATCTATGTCTACGTCTTTTTCTCTTAGAGCTGCGGCACATTCAGCAAAACGAGCGTGTGATTCAGGGTCGCGATGGAAACTTGTACTTCTCTCATGTGACTGTGGCAGACAGTCGAGAGGACTACACCTGCAACACTCAGTTCCCCAGCGCGCGCATCATCGTCCTCAAAGAGCCCATCAAACTCACTGTTGTCCCCTGTAAGCATCAAGACAGAGGATGCTGACTGTCCTTGACCAACCTTTGCTTGCCCTTAAAAACTTTTAGCCTGAACAGAGGGGAACGAGCCAGACATTGAGTTATTTTTAAAATAACACCGTGTCTTAAGATGCAATGCCAATGGTGCAAAACACTGACAAACAGTGAGACTCAGTGAAACCAAAGATGTTTGTTTGGTGTATATATGCACATAGACTAACAGAACAGATGGAGTGAAAGAAAAGGTCCTGTGTAGGGATAGGCAAAATATGGGATATTCACAATTAATTTAAAATGATTTTGCTGGTGATATAGATAATTTATGCATTTTGAATTTGCCATATCTTCATATCATAAAGAGCGTAATTTGTTTCCCAAACTGACTATGACTGTTTTTGCAGTCATAAAAGCAAAAAGTTACTTAGTTACTTTTGTTTCATTCAGTGGTTAATTTGCATATCTATCTATCTATCTATCTGTCTGTCTGTCTGTCTGTCTGTCTGTCTGTCGATCTATCGATCTGTCTATCTGTCTTTCTGTCTGTCTGTCGGTCGGTCGGTCGGTCGGTCGGTCGGTCGGTCGTTCTGTCCATTCATCATAATCCATCCGTGCATTGTTTATTTTGTTCTGCCTGTCCATTCATTCAATTTTTCTTTTATCCTGTCTGTCCATCCATCCATCCATACATACTTTCTTTTGTTCTGTCTGTCCATGCGTCCATTCATCATGATCCATCCATCTTTTTTTGTTCTGTCCATCCATCCATCCATCCATCCATCCATCGTTTCTTTTGTTCTGTCTGTCCATTCATTAATTGTTTCTTTTATCCTGTCTGTCTATCCATCCATGATAGATCCATCCATCCATGTTTTTTTGTTGTCTGTCCATCCATCCATCCATCTATTGTTTCTTTTGTTCTGTCTGTCCATTTCCTATCAGTCCATCCATCCATGACGGATCTATCCATCCATCTTTTCCCTTTTTTCGTCTGTCCATCCGTCCATTAATTATGATTCATCCATCTATCCATCGTTTCTTTTGTTCTTTCTGTCCATTCATTCATTGTTTCTTTTATTCTGTCTGTCCATCCATCCATGATGGATCCATCCATCAGTCTTTTCTTTTGTCTGTCTGTCCATCCATCCATCTATTGTTTCTTTTGTTGTCTGTTCATCCATCCATCTTTTTTGTTCTGTTTGTCCATCTATCCATCCATCTGTCCATTTATTTATCATTCTTTTGTTTTTCATTCTGTCTATCTGTCTGATGTCATAAAAATGTTGAGATATTAAGCTGTTTTGCCCAGTCTTAGTCCTGTGTGAACACCCACTTACTGCAGCTGTAATTGTTTACCATGCCCTCTCTCCTCGTTTCCCTCAATAATTCCGTCTTTGTCTGTATCTGTAGCTAACTCAGTGGTGCGTAACAGAAGACCACAGATGATGCGACCCACTGGCTCCCGCAGCTCCTACCTGGTGCTCAGCGGCCAAAACCTGGACCTGGAGTGCATTGTTCAGGGCCTGTAAGTCAAACCTGCTCTGACTGTGTGTCTTTGAGAGTTACTTCCTTGAAAAGTGTCCAGTATGTTTACATCCTTTTCTCTTACTCACTAGCCCCTCTCCCAATATCCAGTGGATCAGGAAAGATGGAGTCCTGTCTGAGTCCCGCACATCCAAAGATAGTTATGATCGAGTTCTGCGCTTTAAGAATATCTCAGAGTCTGACAGCGGCGAGTACCAGTGTACCGCCACAAATCTGCAAGGCATAATCACTCACACCTACAGCGTCACTGTAGAAGGTACTGTATGCTTCACACTGCCAGATCACATCCTCTCCAGATTTAGATGTGGGGTGTGAACTTGCGAACATCTATGGGAGGATGACTTCAAAAACAAAAAAAACTTCAAATTAAACTGAACAATCTCAGGCAAGAGTTACAGTGTGAACTTATTAGTGTATTATTGCTTGGTAAAAGCTTTTTTGCTACCTCACTTCCCTTTCAGAAGGTTGTATATAACTGTTGGCTGAAACTTTTCATGATTAGTTTGTGTTTTGTTGCGGTCTAGCTGCCCCATATTGGACTAAAGAACCAAAGAGCCAGCTATATGCCCCGGGAGAGACAGTCAAACTGGAATGTAAGGCTGATGGCATTCCCAGCCCTGAGGTCACCTGGAGCATCAATGGCAATCTTACTGGTAATTGATTCAGTCAAGACACCTTCCATTTAGTAATGCAGGGTTTCCCAAACTGGGGTTTGTGAGGAAACTGCAAGGGGTTTACGACTTGATGAAAAACTAATTAATACAATTATAAAACTGTAAAAATGTTGTTTTTGTAAATAAAAACCATTAACAAATACTTTAAAAATGTTTGTTTTCCTGCATGTCATGTGCACATTAACTGAAGTCATTAACTGAACTGTAACCATGTGAATGTTTTCCTAAATTATTGAAACATTAACTTAAAATCTGAGGAGATACTTGAAATAAATATTTTAGGTCAAAGTGGTTCAGCTCACAAAAAATGATTTGGAATCACTGGTTTAAAGTTCAGCCAAATTTTTTTTTTTATTATTATTTCGTCATCTATTTTAGGTCAAAGTGGTTCAGCTCACAAAAAATGATTTGGAATAACTGGTTTAAAGTTCAGCCAAATTTTTTTTTTTATTATTATTTCGTCATTAAGTCAACCTCATGTTGTTCTAAACTTGTATGGACTTCTGTCTTCTGTTGAACTCAAAAGAAGATATTTTGAAGAAAATGGGTAACCAAACATTTGCTGGTAGCCATTGACTTCCATAGTAGGGAAAACATACTATGGAAGTCAGTGGCTACTGGCAACTATTTGGTTACCAACATTCTTTAAACGATCTTCTTTGAAACAAAATCGTTCAACAGAAGAAAAACAGTCATACATGGAACAACATGAGAGTTTGTTTAGTTTAAATAAACTAAATAAACTCTCATGTTGTTCCATGTATGACTTTTTTTCTTCTGTTGAATGATTTAGTTTTTCTGTTGAATTGTAGGAACAACATGAGAGTGAGTAAATGATGTTGAGTTGACCTATCCCTTTAATGTATATTTTGCTTGTATATGTAGAATAATATTTGAGACAATGGTATATGACCTTGTATTGACATACTGAGGTGTCGTTTTGCGTAGATATTGACCCAGACCCCAGACGCAGTGTGAAACATGGTGTTCTCACTCTGAAGAATGTGGAACTCAGTGACACTGCAGTGTATCAGTGCAAAGCAGTCAATAAGCACAGCTCTATACTCATCAATGCCTACGTCTATGTTATAGGTAAGGGCATTTTCAAAAACAGCTCTTAAAAAGCTATTTTTGTTGTTGAGCTGGCTAAGACAACATACGAGTCCAGAATATTGTAGATGTATGGGTAAACTACCCTAGCAACTGCATAGCAACATGCTAACAACAACTCAAAACACCTTGGCAACTGTCATAGCTATTTTCTTTTGTAGAAACTAAATACATTTTCTAGTGTCTAATGTTTTATATTTGGTTTTTCTAGAACTGCCTCCCCAGATTCTGACAGAAGATGGTCTGATGTACTCTGTGGCAGAGGGACAGATGATTGAGCTGGCTTGTGAGACCTTTGGCTCTCCTCGGCCTAATGTCACATGGTGAGACAGACTCGATCCTGTGGGGTGTCCCTTCCTCACATGCCAGAACTGCTCCAGCCAGCTGTCCTGATTATTGTTGGGGGGAAGCTGCTTTGTGGGGAATCCATTAGTGGAAATGGGCAAAATCACACTCAATAGTCAACATTTAAAAAAAAAAATATCGGTGTTCTTGAAATTTTGCATCCATTTAAAAAGGCTAAAATGAATATTTTGTGTGTTCGCAGGGAGGGTGAGACCTGGGGCACTCTTGTAGCCAACCCAAGGATGAGCCAGTTACTCGATGGCTCTCTGCAGATCAGTAACGCCTCCCTCAATGACAGTGGCCAGTACACCTGCACTGTCAGCAACAGCAAAATCACCATCACCGCTGAGCTGGACGTACTCAGTGAGTTCCACATGCTTGAATATTCATTCTTGATTTCATTTCATGCTGTAAGGATCATTGCTTTTGTTGATTAATATTATAAATAATAATATTTAAAGAGTTTTTTTTATTATAACAATAAAAATTGGTTAAACATATAAGACTAATTTGGGATCTATATTCTGAAAGTCTCTTATCTTTCATAATTTAATTTCTTGTGGATTTTTTTTTTAAATAATAAAGTTTTTTTTTTATTGAAACACAAGACACAAAAAAGAACTTTTTTCACTTAAAATGAAGCTATTTTTTACTAATAGAAATTCTGTCTAACAGATAAGACAGTCATTGTGAAACCTCCACTGGCTCTGCGAATCCAGCGGAGGAAGCCCGCTACCCTCACCTGTGAGTACCAGGTGGACTCCAGGCAGGACGCCCCTCAAGTCCAGTGGAGGAAAAACCGACAGAAGCTCACAGAGTCCTCTGATTCAGACAAGTATGCTTTTATACCTTCGTTTCCCTCAGAATGCTTCAAAAAGGCTTAGTTTAAGCTGTATAACATGATCTCATGAACATTATTAACCATAAATGTCTTAGGTACATAATAGATGAATCTACCCTCATAATACCTGATGTCAAAGAAGAGGATGAAGGGATTTACACCTGTGAAGTCATTACCACTCTGGATATAGCTGAAGCGAGTGGCTCCATCACTATCGTTGGTAAGTAACTTTATAATATGGCCATTTCTAAACCCTTTTACGTGTCTGGATCTATATTGCTGTATGTGTATTGCATGTTGTATGATAATGTGACCTACAAAAAGGACAAAAGGACATGTTTTGCTGTAGGGCAAGATTAAAGAAATAACCTTTGAAAACCATAGATGCCTTGTTTTTATTAGCATCTTACCACCTGAGCTCTTTGTCAACCCTCATTCACCAGACCGACCAGACCCTCCGACCCAAATACAGATGACCGAACCTAAAGACCGCAGTGTCACTCTCAGCTGGACACCAGGAGATGATCATAACAGCCCTGTGCTAGGTACCGTATGTTTTTCCTGTTTAGGCAACAGTTTAAGTGTACGCAGTCAGTATTTGAAGCATGTCAATCTTTTGTGCTACTTATTGATCTTTTCCCCTTTAAATGTCAAATGTTGTATAAATTTATGGTTGAACAAATTA